CCCCAAAACCCCAAAACCCCAAAACCCCAAAACCCCAAGATTTGAATAAATTCTTTAATACATTTCATAAATTATTATTTTTTCAAGTTAAGAATAATTAAAAATGTCTGAAATTTATTATTTTGGAGACCCAAAGCTAAAGCCTAAAGATGACCAAGCATATTGGTACAAAGTCCCTCAGTTGGAGTCAGCAACTTCTACTGACGAGAAATTAAGAGAGAAGTTCTACAAAGTTGAAGTTGATAGGCAAGGTAATTTGGGTGATAAAGATAAGGGACAGGCATCTTCAATCTTAGGAGCTCTCTGCTTTAAACAGTTTCAGTAATATAAATCTCCCAATTTAGATTTTTAATATGTCAATATAAATTTTTCTCAATCTTCTGGTATAAAAATCCATATTACTCGATCCCAAACAGAAATTTCTAAAGAATGAACTTTGAATAAATCCCTTACGAGTAAAATCTGGGGCTAAACTCTCAAAAAATATTAAATTTTCACTCAGAATTCATCTAATCTACACCTGATTACTTCCTAAACCTTTGGGCTTCTTTGGATCAGCTAACCATAGCTATATAGAAATAAAGAGCAGAGAAGAAGAGGAGGAAGAAGAAGGTAAGATAACTCTAACCCTTCCTAGAAGAAAGCTCAGATGAAGATGACAGCGACATTAAGAGAATGATGAAATCCAAGAAAACCATTCTTGATGAAATCGGTAACCTCCCTTTTTGCTCTTCAAGACCTGGTTTAGATCAAGAAGAGATCATTACAGTGAAAGATATCAGGTGCGGAGAAGGAACAGTCTACATTCTGATGATCAATGGTGAGCTCTACGGTACCTGAACTGCTTACATATAGCCTTTGGAAAAGGAACTCAGGGCCAAATTGGCAACCGATCTGTTATTTATAAGCAAAAGAGCACTGCAAGAGTTTATTTCAAATAAACCAGTGATGACCATCGACTCTGGTGAAACCCACACTGCCATCATTGACAAGGTACGCTAAGGCTGGTTACCTATAGGACGGAGACTGTTATGTCTGGGGAAGTGTTACGAACAAAAAGCTTGGACTCTCCCAGACCTCTGCCGATGGAATCTTCACCAAGCCAATGAGACTCACAACTTTGAATAAAGAAAGAAAAGCTCTTAAAGAGAAAGAGATTGCTGAAAAAGCAGCCTTAAAGAAGAAAAAGAAGAAAAGGAAGAAATCTGAATATGTTCCAGTAGGCCTGGCAAACTATGAAGGAGTGGCCTGAGGGACTTACAATACCCTCTTCCTTATCTCTGGGAATGTGTATTCGGTAGGAGCAAAAGAGAAAGGAGTTTTAGGATATCAGACCCCAGGATCTGAAGGTTCCCCTCTACCTATATATTCACTCAATAGTATGAAAATCGAGGGTGTATGTGCTGGTCAGTCTCACTGATTAGCCTGGAGCTCATCAGGCAAACTCTTCTCTTGGGGAAAAGTCAGCGAAGGCTGACTTGGATACATGAACCAAGATAAATCTGACATACAGGTTGAGCCAAGAGTCATTGAAGCTCTCTCAGAATATGACATATGATACTCTTGTTGCGGAATCAGAAGATCAATGGCTCTCACTACTTGTGGGAGAGTCTTTTCATGGGGTAAAGGTGATAGAGAGATGTCTCTCAACCAAGATGATTATTACAAGCCAATGAACTTATTTGATAGCAAGCAATTCAAAAATTCTTCAGATCTCTCATTCGTCCAAATCGCTTGCGGACCCACACACTGAGGAGCCCTCACTTCAAGCGGAGTGTTATATATGTGGGGAGACCTGAAGCATGGTTGTCAAGGTAATTTTACATCGGATGGTAAATCTAAGAAACATTCTTACCTCCCTCAACACGTGAATTATTTCACAAATTCAAAACTTAAAATTTACAAAGTTGCTTGAGGAGATTGTTTCACTGTCGTAGCCACAGTGGAGAACAAAAATTTCATGGCTGTCAAATAAATATATGAAGCCGACCAGCTCAGACCACATCAGTGTTGCCTTAAAGAAAAAGCTTCAGAGGAGGATGGAATTTTCAAAATTTAAAAAGCAATTTCTAAGCCAAAGGAAATTGAAGTCAAGCACGACCCTGAATTCGAACACTCTAAAGTCATCCAATGACATCAATCTCTATGACATGAACTCTGGAGGGATGGATCTGGATTTCTTACAACCAATTGTGACCACACAAAGACTTCCCCCACCCAAATAAAGTTGATTGAATTGAAGAATACAGCAAGGAGAAATACGAAGAGCTCAAATCCAACCCTAAAATTTCAGAGTATTTTAAGGAAATGCTCTCAAATCCTAAAAAATTCAAGGGTAGTAAAGGAAGATCCAATACACGGAATTCCAAACGTTCGATCTTCAGCAGTGAGGTCCCGCATGTAAAGCCCAGTGGCTCAATATTTGTCAAAAAGAGCAAGTGAATGGAGGAGAATTTCCCTGAAAAGGCCCGAAAATCCAAGAGCAAAGATGGCTTCTTTATAAAGTAATTTTTCATCTAGCTTTATAGAGAGTTTTTCCAGAATTTGTACAATAATAACCTAACCAAAGTCTATGACCCTATCACTGAGGTGATTTATGATGATAACAAGGAAGGAGATCTGGTTAACAAGAGCTTCTACTACTTTAACATGCAGAAGGACCAAGAAGATTACGTCCGAGACCTCCAGCTCAAAGCTCAAGAGAAGCTTGCTAATAAGAATCAAAATATGATCACCTCGAATTCGATCAGAATGTTTAGGAAAAATCAAGGGCAGTACAGTCTGATGGATGCTCAATCAGAGTTTAACAAGTACCCAAATTTAAACCCTTACAAGGCAAATCTTGAAACAGAAGTTGGCCTGAAATTGTAAGTTCCTTGATAATTTCTAGCATGAATGACATGAACATTGTGGAGATGGACAAAACCCCAGCAGTGAGGATGAACTCACCTGAACTAGAAAGCAGATTTCCTCTGTCTCCGCCTCGGACTAGCCGGGGCCAGAGACCCAACTTCTTCACAGGAAGGAGCTCAAAGAGTATGAAGAAATACAGGCGCCAATGAGCTGTGATCAGGAAACACCAAATCCAGACCCAAGAAGTGCTTAAGAGGAAGGATCGTCGTGCTAAAATTGAACTTGAGTCCTCTAGGCAGAAGTACAATAGAAAAATGGCAAAGCTAAAAGCTGCTGAGGCTCGGAAAAACAAGGTTTTCCTGGATATCCAGGCTTCAGCCTTGATAAACAAGTACAAAGGGATTGACAATCTCTTGAAAGAACATGAGAAGAGACCTATGGAGAAGAAGATGATCAATTATTGCGTATTTCAGTACTTACTTGCCCTCAAGCAATATTATGGCCACATCCACCTACTTGATTTTCTTAAATTTTTCTCCCGAATCCTTCTTTTAAAAATCAACGAGAAGCGCGAACAGGAGAAACTTATTGAGATGAAAAAGCTCGAAGAAGAAGAGAAAATAAAGGCTAAAAATGAGCAAATGCAGGAGGAAATTAATAACACTTTAAAAGAGCAAGGTCTTAGATAATCTCACTGACTTTGTGCCAACGTGGCGGCATATTCATAGCTGATCTTAATAGATTTAGTCCAAATAAACCTTCCTTAGTTTTCCATTTCCTCCTCATGTTCAACATTTAAAGACTGTAACTTATCCAGTAGATTAATAGACCTCAGGCTGTAATCTAAGCTCTAGAAGTCTTTAATAGGGTTCTTTATACAGAAAAGGGATATAGACAACACCAGAGATAGAATGCAACTGGTTAGTCTATTAAAATGCTGCTACCTTTATTTTAGCCCTTCAGTGTGCATCTGGACCAGCTTTGAGCCAAAATTGTTCATTATGACCCATTCCAGCTGGATATCTGTTCTATTGAGTTTTATAAGGCATTTTAGGTGGAGTGCTGGTCTTAATGCTGCTTTAAGCACTCAAAAATATAAAAATACTCGAAATTGGTGTTAACATTAGGCTATATGGATATTAATCCTGAATATAAGTTAATGAAAGATAAGGATTGGGGTTTTGGGGTTTTGGGGTTTTGGGG